CTAAAACGACCCTTGAATGCTTTTCAAATGCATTTTTCATTTCGACACCAGTTGAAATAGAATGGGAACACCATTTCAAAACAGATTTGCTTTTCCATTTGGGAACCATTTCGACACCAATTGGGATCAAATGGGAAAACCATTGTCAATTTCATATCAAATAGGAATATATCTTCCAAATGGAAACCATTTCAATAACAATTGGGATTAAAGGAAACAGTCCACTTTCCTGAAATCAGTATTTTGCTATTGATTTATGATTTTTTATGCTCAAAATAATCATGAAATAAAATGAAACCTTTTTGTAAAAACAATTATTTTCTTCATTTTAATATAGGGCGAACTATATTCTATGTAAAATAATGTTTGACGCGGAAGCTTATTACGCATTGACCAATCATATTGCGTAGCTCAAACCTACGAATACTGCATTGGCTGTAAGCAGCACGCTGATTGGCTGACGATGACGTGGCTGCATTCCTGTGCAAGGCACGCATTCCTCTACAAGGCACTCTTTTCGGAACGAGAAATGGAATTTCTTCGTCTAGGGTGATCGTTGAGCCGTAAAAGCTCCTGATTTGTGCTAGTCTCAGCTCAAGCTACGAAACTGCTATTCCAGCTCACAACCCCATGTTAAAAGTGAACTATTTCCTTTAAATAAGACACGCTTTATCAGATAAAATTCTATTTCGAGACCACTTGGACAATTTAGATCAAATATGAATATCTCCCGACTCCCAAATGGAAACCATTTCAAAACCAATTGGGATGAAATGGGACAAACCATTTGGGATGAAATGGTTTTCTTCCATTTGGAGACCAATTGGACACCAATTGGGATCAAATGGGAAAAACCATTTGAGATCAAATGGGAAAAACCATTTGAGATCAAATGGGAAAAACCATTAGATACCAATTGGGATCAAATGGGACACACCATTTGGGATGAAATGGTTTTATTCCATTTGGAACCAATTGGTATCAAATGGAAAGCACCATTTCAGACCAATTGGGAAGTTACCAATTGGAAACCATCTCGATGCCAATTGGGGACATACCATTTGGGATCAAATGGAAAGCACCATTTCAGACCAATTGGGAAATTACCAATTGGAAACCATTTCGATACCTTAATGAAAAACAATATCAAATTCTTATCTGTATTCAATGTAAACGCGTTTCGATTATTTCTTTATCAATACATTGATACAATACAGATAATGAACACACACGATTCAATGTGGGTTGGGATGAAATGGAAAACACCAATCGAAATCAAATGGGATTTATTTTCCAATAGGAAACCATTTTAAAACCAATAGGGATCAAATGGAAAACACCATTTCGGAGCAATTGGGAAATTACCAATTGGAAACCATTTCGATACCAATTGGGGACATACCATTTGGGATGAAATGCTTTTATTCCATTTGGAGACCAATTGGACACCAAGTGGGATCAAATGGGAAAAACCATTAGAGATCAAATGGGAATTTCTTCCATATGGAAACCATTTAGATACCAATTGGGACCAAATGGGACACACCATTTGGGATGAAATGGTTTATTCCATTTGGAACCAATTGGAATCAAATGGAAAACACCATTTGAAATCAAATGGGATTTATTTTCCATTAGGAAACCATTTCAAAACCAATTGGGACCAAATGGAAAACACCATTTCAGACCAATTGGGAAAAACCAATTGGAAACCATTTCAAATGGTCATGAAAACCATTAGAACCTATTTCAAACCATTTGACACATTTGAAACCAATTGGTAAATCCTAATGGTTTCAAATGGTATTTTTTACTGGGTAAACACAATTCCAATCATCAAGTCAACCAGCATCGACAATCTGCACATAAGTTCTAAACCTATTGCAAGACTACTTTGTATTCAAGCTTTGTATTGCAGAAGGGTGGAAGCTGCATGGAATTATGCGACAATTTCAGCGTGCATCCACGCTCGAAAGAGCAGGGTTAATTGTAACAATACCATAACAATAACGTAATTGTAGGTGTTGTGATTCGGTTGTCTCTTGTCTGTGCTGGCCATTGCGCGGGCGGTCCAGCGGCGGAACTCGGCTTCGCCGCCGTGGCGCGCTGGCAGTTGCTTCTTCTTCTTCTTCTGCATCCCACCGCCAACCCGCTCAGGGGGGCGGCGGGTCGAGCGGCAGCTCGGTCCGCCCAACATCCTCGATGAAGGTGACGACCTTCGTCGCCGGGCCGCCGAGGACGTCGACCAGGCGAGGGTCGACACCCCAGCGGCGGCGGCGGGCCGCCTCATAGGCCGGACAATCGGTCAGTAGGTGCGCCGCGCTGTCGGGCTCCCCGCACGCGGGGCATTCGTCGTCGGCTGCCAGGCCAATCTTGTGGAGCGTGTCATGGGTCAGCGGTGATGTGCCGGTCCTCAGCTGGGACAGCGTCACCGTGACCGACCCCCAGCGCGCCAGGGAGTCGTGGCCAGGCGTGGGGTCCGGGTGCGGGTGGGCAGCGGTTGCCCTCTGTCGCGACAGCTCCCGGACATGGCGCGTGACGGCGGCCCGCGCACTCGACAGGTCGATCGGTGCGCTGTCTTGGTCGCCCGCCGTGGCCTCGCCAGCCAGGCGGTCGGCGGTTTCGTTGCCGTCCAGCCCGGCATGGCCTGGCACCCACTGGAGCACCGTCTCGGTGCCGTTCTCGGCGAGGGTGCTCAGCAGCCTCCAGACCTCGGCGGCCAGGGCCATGGTCTGGTTAGCTGGGCCGCGGCCGAGTAGTTGGAGCCCAGACCTTGAGTCGGTGAGGAGGCGGACCGACTTGGTCGATGCCAACTCCCCGTCCTCCAGGCCGGCCACAGCCGCGAACGCCTCGCGCATGGCGGTCAGTTCTGCTCTTAGGCTGGAGCAGACCGCCCCTGCAGGAGCGCGCACGGCCTCTTCTCTGTTGAGGTGGTGGAACTGGATCAGCGCGCCTGCGCCGCCCTGTTCCGTCCCGCCGCGAGCCGAGCCGTCCGACCAGATAATGACGTCCGGGTGCGGGAGCTCTGCAATGGCTCGCAGGGCAGCTTCCCTGCGGACTGCAGGCGGGTCCGACCGGCGGGTGGCCACGGGCAGGTCCACCCTGAAGGTGATGCCGCCGCGGTGGCCCAGCCATGGCGGGTCGCAGCTGCAGAACGCCGAACCTGTAACGCAATAGAATTGCAATTGTAACAAAGACCTGCATGGTCAGCACACATCTGCAGTGACTGTCATCCCAAGTTGGTATGAATTGGAACAAAGTTGGGTCATGGTAGCAGACGTAGCACAAGCTGTCGTGATATGCCATACCGTAGGACTAGGTCGTAGGTTGTAGATTTTAGGTTTAAGGCTGTAGGTTGTAGGTCAGGTTAGGTAAGGTTTGGTTAGAAAAACCCATTCTCCGAACCTGTAACTCAATAGAATTGCAATTGTAACAAAGACCTGCATGGTCAGCACACATCTGCAGTGACTGTCATCCCAAGTTGGTATGAATTGGAACAAAGTTGGGTCATGGTAGCAGACGTAGCACAAGCTGTCGTGATATGCCATACCGTAGGACTAGGTCGTAGGTTGTAAATTTTAGGTTTAAGGCTGTAGGTTGTAGGTCAGGTTAGGTAAGGTTTGGTTAGAAAAACCCATTCTCGTGCATAGGGCAGCTTGTGCTACGTCTACCTTACCAATACCCAATTTGAATTCCCAAAATTGATGGCAAACAGGTTTTTAGTATAACAAGTGTGGTTAATTGTTCTAATCCCCGCTGCAATGTGAGGGTAACTGCTTTTCTACAATCACAATATTTGAATTCATATAGGTAGCCATAGGTACGTTTCACATAGGTTATAGGTATTCGACCATAGCCTCTCCGATTATGCCTTTCACTCGATACGAGCGGGACCCATAGGCCGAGTGGCCTTATAACCCGATGACCAACTAAGGTAAGGTAAGGTAAGGTAGGTGTTTACATGTTCAGAAAATGATACAAAATATGACACAATTATAGCTGCAACTGGATAGTGGATACCAACCTCAACTAAAAGTTTCTGCAGCCTTATAACCTAACACATGACTAAATTGCCAAAATAAATCCCTTAGAACAATAGCTTGACTCTAAAATAACAGAACTTTTGCATGCAGACCCTGGAAACTGGAGGGTTTATGAAAAGTAACAAAAATAAACATTCACTAATATCAATATGTTGTTATAAATTTCATATGTAGCATAAGCGCCAATACTGCCTTCATTTACAATTTTGCTACTGTTTTCCACTCACAAACGCTGCCCTCCGTGGACAGCAGCAGCAACAGTGAAACGTCACCCGTGGTGTGACATCATCACCCATGACGTAATGGAAATCCAGTTGTTACCAAGGCCCGTAAACGCTGTTTTAAACATTGCCCCCAACGGAGCGCCACGATCACTGAGGTTGTGACGTCACGCAAATATCCCGGAACTTTTCCGAGAATATGCCTGTTTTCTACAACCAAAATTTAGCATGAAAATAATTACGATAATGGTTAATATATACATCAAAAAACTTGAAAAATTATGCTTGTTTTTATTAAATAACAACTGGCATATGAGTCCCATACCCCATTGTAATTGAAATGTGTTAGAATCAATGCTACCTATAATTTTTTCCTTTCCAGTAAGATTTTGAAAAATAATAATGCCAGAGTCTCTGTTTAGCGAGATATGTCTGGATGAAGTTGGTAAGTGGCATTTTATGATCTGATTCAATTGAATCTGAATTGAATCTTAACCATCATCAGAACTCTAGCTTATGTGGATTTAATGCTGAGTTGAAATATTTGTCACTAATTTTTTTTGCCACAAGAAAGTTTTTAAGTGGCCTCTTTTTTGTACATGTTTTCATGATATTTGTCATGTAAAGCACAGTCATTCCATATATAGTTCTCTATATTTACCTTGAGTCACGCTCTCACGCAAATTGCTGAAACTATCTTGATGTTATAAGATAATTCCTGCAATCCCTGTGCCAGGTTTTCTCGGCTCACAGTGCTCCGTGGAAGAGTGCCGCAGTGCAGATGATACTGGCGATTCAAGTTGTATGACACTGGATCGTGTCAGCATCACTGTTCCCTACAGCAATGCCAGCTTTGGTCTGAGACTGCTGCTGAGTGCAGACAACCAGGAGCTGGCCCCAGGTCAGTTGAGTGTTTGTGTCATGAGTGATCTGTTGGTGTAGAGAAAGTTAGGGTCATTGAATATCAAATTTAACTTCTTGTTGTTTTGGGTTGTTGCACCATTATTACTTCTCAGTGGATGAGAATGGAGTCATCCATTGCATTTCATTAGAGTTAACTTGCTGTTACCTACCAGTGGCCTTTGAAGTAGGGCTGCATCAGTTAGGATATCTTGATTTAAAATGGCTATTTAATTTATCAGAATAGCACTTAACTAGTATATGTCATAATCAACAGCCTTTGGTCTCCATACTCTGTGGTATGGGAAATAATTGTCATGTGACTTTGTGTATAATAATATTGCCTGCATTTGTTAGCACATCATTTCAGCCCCCCCCCCCCCCCCATTTGCTAGCTATGTGACATGATTGATTGTTCATTTGAGCTAACTGCCTTAAACATATTTAGTTGTTATGGATGGATGTTCTTACAGTCTGTCACATACAGCTTGTTGCACTTCTGAATTGGTGTATCTAAAAGACTTAGCGCCATTAACCAGACACCAGTTATTGATTAATTAGATAGCAATAATCTGATAACAGACTGATTACTGGCCGGGCATACCGTGTTCGTTCTACTGGCATATCTACGTTTTGCCGCGGTGTCGGCAGATTTCATTTTCGACGACCCCACGTTTCTGTCGAGCTGCGACGCCGCCGATCTGGAGAAGTTGGTGCCGGCGCTGCGCGACTGGCGCCGCCTCTCTGACCTGCCGGCTCTGCTGCGTCAGCTACTCACCGCCTACAAGTCGCACGTGGTGAGTCGGCTGACACCGGGCGGAGCGCTCTGGGACGGCTACAGCCAGCTGCTGGCTGAGCTCGGGCCGGACGCCCTCGAGCCGATGGTGGCCGCCGGAGAGGCGCGCCCGGCGCTGTACGTGCTGGTCCGCCTCCCGCTGGACCTGTCGACCCTCTGGGAGCGGCCACCGCCGGGCCGACGGCCGTGCGCGCTGCTGCTGCTCAAAGCCACGGAGAACGGTGGCGTAAAGGCGCGTCTGCGGCTGTCCCCGGCGCTGGCGGCGCTGGCGACTGACTGTCGACTACCGCCGCCGGCCAGCCGGCCGCTCACCGAGTACGTACAGCTGGTTACCGAGCTCACCCAGCGTCAGCTTCAGGAGGGCTCGGACGTGGGCCGGGCGCGCCGGCTGCTGGTGGCCGCACTGGTCACCGCCGCGCCCGACCGTCTGCTGGACCTGAGCGCCGACTGCAGCCGCATATCGCTGCGGTGGGACGGGGCCGTGGCAGAGCTGCTGCTGGCTGCCTACCCGCGCCGGCCGGCTACCCTCTGCCTGGCCTCCACGGCCGGTCGGTGGCGGCGCGAGGTGCCCCTGACGCTGTCAAACTCGGCGCCGGTGCCAGAGGTGGTGGACATGATCCTGGACAAGGTGGAGGAGCTGCTGAAGGGCGTGGACCGGGATTCGGACTCGGATGAGAGCCTCCTCTAAGAGATATTGGGAGAGATATAGGGATTCGCGGTGCCCATTTCGAAGTCAGTACCTGTGAAGCGAAGACTTTCAGTGCGTTCTTTTTTGTATGGAGTTTGTAGCTTTGTGATGTGTTCGGACGTGATGATATGCGATGATCCAGCGATGCAATGAATGTGCTGGCGTTAGATGCAAATGTTTTTTGTAAATGTACTTTAAGTGTTCTTTTTCATCCATCCATCCATCCATCCATCCATCCATCAATTTCATATGTATTGGATAATTAATGAGTGTGATATTTCTTGCATCCCAGCTTTTTCCGCAGCACTATCTTTCTGGCTCTCAGAGTGTCTTAATGCATCGATTTATATACTAAACCTTGGTATATAAAAACTGGCCTTATTTCTATTGTATTTTTCACATCGGTATTTAAGGAAACCACTCACATGAAAATTAGCACATGACAGTACATGACGGTACAACATTTAAAGGCTATGGTACATAAGTCAACGGGTGCAGACGGGCTTGTAAACAGACTCACTTGATATCTGTTCTTATTCTTATCTTACCGTGATCATTGTAGCTCAACTCTCGAGCCTTTCCATCGCTACTCTGTGATATGTTGCCACTTACTTATCCTATTAGTAGGTTATAAGTGCTTGACATTTCTCCGTGTTACATTTGAGAACGACGAAGATATGATTTGTAATTAACTCGAGCTAACTGAAGAGTGAAATATGCAACCGAAGCCAGTACATTGATGAGAAAATGGAGAATAGATGTCATGTTTAACGTTCATCTTACGCATGAGAGCTTGTCACCTAACTAGATTACCATATCAGTCGTTCCTACAGATTTCATTCCCTAAGCTCGCCAGTGACGTTTGAATCCCATTCTTATAAGTCAGTTGTTCTTCCTTTGAATCTGTCTATTGGATACTGATAGCATTTGACAGAGGTCTCGTAACCCTCGTTCAAGGAGGCAAAAATCTAGTGGCGAAGTTACGAAGAAAACGAATTTCTTATTTTAGGTTATTTTTAGTTTTAAGTCGCTCCTCGTAAACTTCATGTGATATTCTTGTGATGCCTGCAGCATCAGTAGTATCCCTCTTCGTACCATCTTTGTGTGCTTTGTCTCTGAGTAAGATGAAGATCCTTTATGATATGACCTTGACCATACGATATGACCATTACGTCGACGAATATGCAGCGTCGCCGAATCAATACAATCAGAGCTTCACTCACATACATGAATGGATCTCAACTGACCTACACATCGAGCTTCATGCGACTTCGGAACAATGTGTCGTCTGTGACGAACAGTTCTACACCGATCTTACTTAGCGAAGAATTTCTTCACTGACTTTATCTAAACACGGTTTCATCGACATTGTCTCTGGGTCGGCAGAGCTTAACCGTCTCAAAGTTTACAAAGGTTCACCGTTTCGGTGTGAACAGAGCTTCACCTGCTCAAAGTTTACAAAGTTCACCGTTTCGGTGTGAACAGAGCTTCACCTGCTCATCTCAGCACAGAGACGCACGGGAAGCAGCTGTCCCACCGTGTGATGAGCGCCGCCAGACAGCGGGGGCAGCGGGGGTCGGTGCCGGGCGCACTGCGCAGCGCTGGCCTCCAGCCTCCGCCGACCGCCCGCACACTCTGACGCCGGCCGGCGGGCAGGCGCGGCGGCGGCGGCTCCGGGCGTACCTTCCGAGCCGGAAACCGCACCTTCCTTCCGACCCCTCGCGGCCGAGATGGTTTATTGCCAGCTGGAGGGCTGGGGAGGCTCTTGTTGAGTCGCTCGAACCGGCTGAAGCCCTGTCGGGGCTCCTTTCGCGGCAGCTCCGGCCGAGCCGGGAAGAACGTCCCTCGGAAGCTGGGCGCCTGCTGTCGTCTGGCGGCCGGCCGGCGCAGCGAGGCCTCCTGGGTGAGGCCTGGCCTAACCCGTGGCGCTACCTGGGGTACCACCGAGGGCCTGCTCGGTGGTGCTACCTGTGGTACCGCTGCGGGCCTGCTCCGTGGCGCCACCTGGGGCACCGCCTCGGACCTGACCCGTGGCGCCGCCTTGGGCTGGGGCGCCGTCCGACCCAGTGCTGCCACCTGTGTTAGCAGAGCGGGCACTGCAGGTGACACCGGTGGCTGACGGCTGCGGGGCTCGACTCCGACCGCTCCGGGACGCCGAGGGCTGCCTTCATCCGCCGCCGGTCGCTGCCTGGACTCGCGTGTGGAGAGCTGCACCAGATCCAGCAGTGTCTGACCCACGTCCGCCACTGGGAGTGCTCGAACGGGTGCCCGCGGGGAGGGAGTCGCCGCCCGGGAGACGGTCGGCCGCTGCGCCTGGGGACGGGTAAACGGTGACCGGCGCGGAGCGGGGCTGCTGGAGACGGGGTTGAGTGGTCTCTGTGGTGACACCAACGGCTTCAGCGGCGCCCTTGAGACCGCGAACTGCGTCTGAGAGGATTTGGTCGGAGTGGTGCGTGTTTCCTGCTTCGTCGACTCTGAAACAAAAGTTGTCAGTTCGTTATGTTTCTCCTTCTACAATATGTTATTCGAGCAGCAATCGTCATAGTTGGGGCATGGAGGTAACATGGATGTTAGTTACGGTATGTTGTGCTGTCTGCCTCGTTATGTAACCCATCATTTCATCAGCCTTGTTCCTCTCGTGTACATTCTCGTTTGACACTAAATATTGCACCTAAGTCCGCTCTACACGGCACGCCTGCTACCCTGCACCTAACCCTCCCCTCCCCACCCCACTGACCTGCTCCCTGCTCCTCTCGGCCAATCAGCTCGTTGAGCGCGTAATAGCGCGGCGATTCTGCACAGTCCACACGGAACTCGTGATCGCAGACCAGGAACTGCTGGTGGAACCGGGTGCCGGGCGGACAGGAGAAGTCGAACTGACGTCCGCCGGGAGCGCACAGTGTGTACGAGCTGCAGTCGTCGGCCAGGTCGGCGTAATAGCCCCCGGAGCGACTCAGGCATACCGACTCCTCGCCGCCGGACGTCAGAAGGTTATCGGACACGAACTGAAACAGAGAGACTCGTGTGAGCTGAAGCAACGTATCGGTGAAATTGAAGCACAACAGCCCGCTGCAACTAAAACATACGGCCGGGAAAACGAAATTTAACGACCAGAGAGCAATGAAACTGAAAATTACGGCCGACTGGTCTGGGAGCATGCGTGAGCCGTTAGCAACTACGCGATTTGTGCACTTCGCAGCGATCCGTTGGCTGGTGGGTGAACGACACAGAGTTGAGAGTTATGAATACAGAAGATTAAAGTTTTGTTTAAAGGTAGTGTGCCAGCTTTCCTGGACCGTATGGAGTTAATGGCCCAGATAAGGAGAACCGGATTTTTAGAACTTAGCCATACCTTCAAAACTCATGGAAACGTCTTAAATTCTTCAAATTTTGAGTACCCCAGTGCGAAATTCGCCCCGACGGGTTGTCGGTCGTACCCCAACCACATTTCACACCACTATGAACAATAAATGCACACACTGAAATCGCTATTACCGATAGGCTCATCCAATCAAGTTTCGATAAACCCGTTCATCATCATCTCCTGCGGTTTCGAACACGCCTGTTAGGTGGTGCGGTAGACCGCGCCCAAAGCCAGGGCCCCGGTAACGTGAGGTAGCCGAGTCGGGGCAGCGTGCGCTGACCCAAGCCGGGGCCGCGCGTCCTCCCGGTGTCATGTGATAGCCCGGGGCTGCCCGGGGATGCGGTAGACCGCGCCCAAAGCCGCGGCCCCGGCTTGGGTCAGCGCACGCTGCCCCGACTCGGCTACCTCACGTTACCGGGGCCCTGGCTTTGGGCGCGGTCTACCGCAGGTGGCTTCTGCTCATACTTTGTGGTGCGGTGGTGGTGCGTCGGGCCGCGCGCTCTGACTTCGGCCAAGAAAAATGCGTCAGCTGATCATTGTCATTTCTGCCACTTTCATGTGGTGAGATGGGGTCATAACTTTAGAGAAGGCTGTTTCATATCAATTATTTTACATAAAATAATATTTCAAACCATAAATTAATGTTCGACAGCCAAATTAAAGAAACAATACCAATACAGGCTTACAGTTTAAATTCGACATTGTGTTGTCTCCAATTAGACAGCTGATAACTCATTCCCGTACGTCGTAACTCCATAATGACCTTTGCTTATTGTCACATGTGCGCCGCATTCGCGATTGTTGCCGACGCCTGTTTGCAGGTCAGCCCACTACAGTTGTTATACATAGGGGAGAGGCGGGAGAATTGGGACGCAGGAGAATAGGGACGCGCCAATATCTAAAAAATGGGCAGCATCCTTGCACGATTATTGCCTTTATCTTTTGATTCTATGTGTCATGCAACGATGGGAAGCCTCAGCAACCCTTTTGTGGGCGTCGTTTGGGCTGTGCTGGCTGAGCACCAAAAAACTTGTTTTTTTCGAGTGCTATTCTGAGTTGTCTGTGCATTGCATATGACAAACTACCTTTCTTTCAACATGTTACGATGTTAGATTAACACCGTCCTTATGCGATTGCTAGTTTGTATGAACACGCTCTGTAACTGATAAATGACAAAAAAATGCGTGATTTGTTATGGCGGTGTTGTGGGAGAATAGGGACACCAAATGGTAAAAACGGTAAAGTGGTGCAAAAATATGTGTTTTTACCTTCGTGTTTTGGAAGGGGTTGCAGCTGCACCCTTAACCACAAATACATCAAAGCGAAGACCAGAAAGTCTTACTCAGGTAGGAAAATGTGCATTTTTTTGGAACATCGTCATCGTGAAAGACAATCCCGGCCTTTAACGAAACAGATAGTGTGAAGATAAGTTCCAATGTATCAAATGATTGCCTATAGACATAGACACGACAAATAATTCGAGATAGAGTCATCCCAATACCCAATTTTTATATGTCCCAATTCAGCTTCGTGTCTGTCCCTTGTCTCCTTGCATGTGTCCCTATTCTCCTGAAAATGAGTGTTTTTGTTTTTGTCCACATATAGCTACATCATTGCACAGGCTCGCTATTTTATGATGGCATAACGCAGAGAAATGGTGGACCTTTTATTGGTGCTGCGCAAAGCAGCTTGGCTACAATACTTGCCAAATAAGACCTCAATGAACATGGCCTGAGAAATAAGTCCCAATTCTCCCGCCTCTCCCCTATCGAAAAACCGATAAACTTTTAGGCGAAAAAAACACTATTTTAGGCCCATTTTTGATTTTTTTTGCGATATTAGGTAAAAACAGAAGCTTCTTATCCTAGGAAAAATAAAATGGGAAATCATTGGAAGGTGGCACACTGCCTTTAAATAGCTGACATCAATAAATGGCATATGTCGTCCTCGTGGTCGGATAGGTTTGTCATATGGTGTAATACAGATTTATTGCCAATAGGTTTCTCTATTATCCAACAGGGTAATAGACAAACCAAATTGACAACACGTAAATAGACATTATATCTCCCCACATGGGCGTGGAGAACATGTCCGAAATAACGCAGAAAGGGCACGATATGTGTATTGGGAACGAGTCGCGAAATGGGAGGCGGGTCGGAAGGCGATTACAGCGCCCCACAGCATCACGAAAGGGGGCGGCATCGAGAAACGTTTACCTGCGGAACGGGTCGACCGGGATGGAAGGGCGGGCCGCGCAGAACTATATAATCAAGCGTACGGCGTCGGATCGTGACTAACAGTTAACACATACCAAGTTACTTGGTAAACGGCAATTAGTGCATAAACTGCACATTGCGAAGCAAGGCCAGCGGGTTTGCTGTGGCTGAGAAGATCAGACGGTTTGCTGAGTGACTGAATAGCTTTATTATCCGGATCCGCACGTTTGCATTTGCAGTGATCATCTAAGCATGTCCATCGGACATCATCTAAGCTGCGTATAGTTAAATGTTTCCTTTTCGGGAGGGGGCGTAGCAATGGTTTATCTTGATAGACAGTCATGTCCAGCGTTTCTTGATGGGTGTATTTATGTGTAAGTTAGGTATAATTTATTTACTCCCTCCACGTCCACACATCTGGCACTTTGCTCTCTGACAGGCTTGGCTGGATCACATTAATCACTGATGTACATATTTTGTGCGAATCTCGCCGACAAATTCGCTCATCATGGTTTAGCTTCACTCCTAAACACGCTCTTTCAGGTGTCAAAAGGCTTTCAGAAAATCATCCCCCAAATAACCAACGATTTTCCGCAGTCGTCGAGCATTCAGAGGAGTCACGTTTTCATTTGTCACCCGGGCTGTTTGGGGCTGCGTTTGACGGCGGCTGTATCCGTACCATTATGCGCTACCACCCGTCTGTTGGACAATTCAGGCGCGGCCGAGCTGACGTGAGAGACAGTGACACAGCATAATACAGGATTAGCGGCGCTTCCGCCTCGCTGGAACACCCCCTGGGCCTGCCTCTGGGTGGGTGGTGACCCTGCCCGACCCGTGTCAGCCCCTAACGCCCCCGTCGGCCGCGACCATCGACGCCCCCTCCACCGACGCGACGGTGCGAAAGGGTAACAGCCCAAGCCTTGCGGCGGGGTGGACGCGACACCGGCTGATAATACGCCGGGCGGAGGCGGGCCACAGCAGCAGGATGTGTGCTGACCTTGTGAGAGAGGCGGCGACCACGGGGCGCCATTACGACCACGTCAGCTGGGGAGACGGGCGCGGCGGTGAGCGCGGCGGCTCTTACACACCTGGGTGATTACACGGCGGGTGCATGGGGCGACCGATGACCCTTCGTCGGGCTCAGACGGGCTGATGGATTGATCTAATAAGCAACGTTTTGGCGTTGAACAACTTTTCCAACGGTTATGTTATTGATTATTTCGTTAATTATAAGATCATTCGCACTTATTTTTTAAAAGATATGCTATTGAGTCAGACTTTATTATAGGCCATGCAGAGTGTGAAAAAAATTTGTTCGATAACTTTTAGTTTGTATTTTAAGTTTTGCCGAGAAGCATTTTTCATATACTATTTTTCCTACAACACTTTAGCGTGGTTATATAGTTTTGTCGGATTTTTCTTTTTTCACGAGGAAACGTTCCTTGAAGGTGGTCCGTGACTGATTCTACCTAACTGGTCGAGTATGTAAAGTCTAAAAGTCGTCACTCACAGTTCAAATCCAAACGAAGGAAGATAGAATCGGTTATTGATATCACCTGTTGAGCGGAAGCTCGTCGCAGTCCCGTCAGCGTGCAGAGAAGGAGAAACGAGCGCCACAAATGAAGCGCCATGGCTCATCTGAAAACAGAAAAACGGGCTGTCATTGATAGACAGTCGTACGTAGGAGATAACAATAAGTAGTGGTGGATACCATTATAACAAGATATTTGGCAGTTTGGTGTATGTGACAGTGATTTCCTGCTATGACAGATCCGTCACTTTTTACCGGTGCTCTTGCTGAGCCCAATATGTTGTTTCTGCAGAAATATGTATGCATCGTTGAATAATGTGAATAGTTATTGTAAACAAACAAATAATATGCCGTTAATTAATTGACTGCAGAGTCTTTTAAGTGTATCAGTGTAATACCTTTCTCTGAAGTAGTTACGATTCTCACGCCGTTCAGTCCATTTCACCGATGATTATTGATTCAGGGCGGGTTTTTACGGGAGACTGCTCCGTTGTCAGTCTTTGCGACATCGCCAGATTCCTGCCGCAGCCGCCCATCACCGAACGTGGACCGGCTCATTCCCGTCGTGTTTGGACCGAACCACATTCTTCCATCACTTCATTCAGTTCCAGTCCGCTCACAAAAAGTTCGCCAGTGTCAGCAGTAAGCTGCACCAAATTCCCACAGACCCTATTGTCACGCTGTTTATTGTTGAGGGTGCTTGTGAATTCACCAAATGGTCCCGTAATATAACCGGATTGGCATGTTTATACGTTGCTGCCGTATTTAGCCGCGCTCGAGTTGGCTATGTCTGGTATTGTAAGTTCTCACTCAATGTGACGTAGGTACTGCCTTTGTTTCCGAATAAAAGATAAACAATGCGAAGGTCTTTTGATGAGCAGTAGCACTCGCGGGACTTCAAAGTGGTGCTCAGGCGCTGTTAACGTGAGCTGATATGGCTTTGTTTTGAATGGAGAGGTCGCGACGAGTCATAATAGCTTACTTTGACTCCTGTTTGCCCGTCAGAAGCGAGCACTGGGCCAGAGGCGGATCCAGCTCAGAGTTTTGGGGGGCAAACCATAACAATTTATCGATTCTTTCCATGCATCGTCCATAGGCGTAATGTTAACCCGCGCACCGACGGGGGTCTGCGCCAACTTCGTACCGACGGGGGGGGGGGGGGCGGATGACCGCCCCCCCCCCTGAGATCTCGAGAACGAAGCAAGATAGCGACAAGCGGTAAACGGCAAGGGATACGCACGGACAAGGTCTACAATTTTTACTAAGGTCATTTTCAGGTCAGGTCAAAGATGACGTCACAGGGGTCAAAAAAGTCAAAATGGCGGCGCTAGGTATGGAGAGTTTTTCTCGAATAACTTTCGAACTAGTCAATATAAGAACAAATTAAGGGCATCATCGTGATCCTCTCGTCAATCCGCATCGAATGATATATATGTTGACCTCGAAAGATCAAGGTCAAAGGTTGACCTCAGGTCACGTGACCTCGAGGTCATCATGTATATCATTCGATGCGCCTTGATGAGCTGAACACAATGAGACCATCTGCGCGGCTGTATCTTGTTCCTGTACGGAGTTATTGTCAAAAAACCGCTGGTGACCTTTGATGACGTCACATGACCTTACAGCTGCCCAACAGCAAAACAGACCTCAAGGTAGTGAAGGTTGATCGTATATGAGGTCATGTATGGTTTATGGGGTCATTCCGACCCGTTTTAGTGGTAAAAACAGGGAGTTGATTTTTCCCCCATTGACTTATAATGGGGAGGTCGAAAAATTGACCTGACCTTAGGTCATCGATATCAAAATTCCGAGATAAAAAAATTGTAGCTACTATTGACCTTATAACATCCTGCGACTTTCAAAGGCCTCCGACATCTACTGTAGCTCTGGCACGGTGTCAAAGTTGCAAAAAAGTAACTTGAGTTTGGGCCATTCAAAGTGACCTGGTGACCTGACCTTTAAAGTTAGGAGGTTCAAACTCGCACACCATGTGTAAAATTGATGAGAGAATAGTCGTATTAAATTTCGCGGCGCTACGCGCCGCGGTTTTCCCGCTATTCGCGAAAAACCTCAGGGGGGCGGATATCCGCCCCCCCCCGTCGGTGCGCGTGTTAAAATCATGCCGTTTGGGGGGGGGGCAAATGCCCATTTTGCCCCCCCTGGATCCGCCACTGCACTGGGCTACTGCCACTTCAGCCTGCCAATCAAAATAGGTAGTTAACACGGCTAATTTGTGTTCTCATGGTCAGACGTTCGGCGAAGAACGGTTATTCGGGCGATAATGATGTTTTCAGCCAGTAAGGTAGACAAAGACTCAGCACCTAAAGCATCTGTATGACGTGAGAATATGAATCGTCGAATTCCCAGCCCGTTTCCGATGCTCAGTTTTTGGGGGAGAATTTCCTAACCTTGCGTTCACTGACCATAAGCTCGTCCAGCTTGCTGCGTTTCTGTGCGGCAATGCGGTCACTCATTGCAAAATGGGACACGCGTCGGCATGCGTCCCGTCTGATCAGCGGCTAAGCTCGGCTGATCAGCGGCTCGAGATCGGCTGATCCAGTGGGAAATGTGGGTGGAAGGTGGTCCATCTCATATGCTGTCTGCTTGGAATATGTGCATGCTTTGTCTTATAGGATTGTTTGATGGGATTTAAGTACATTAAATGTTCCAATGAATGTCCTGCAGCATTGCGATTATCTATCGGTACGAGTATTTAGGACTCATGACGTCGTTAATGTAGCACTAGGTATACCTATGCTTTTACACCTGCGTAGATTTATTTTACTTAACTTGAAGTTAGATGCTATTCGGTCATAGGTATCATTTACATGCTATCCGAACACGTGTTTACGGGACACGCTCACCGGTAAACAGAGCTCATTGTGTACTTGTAGGATGCATGGTACCGACCTATGCTATCCAAGCGCACCCATCTCATCGGTAAAGGAATTTGGACCGAAGGTTTTAACACATCGCGTGGAGACGAGCTACTACCAACAATTTACCAACGTTCTATGTAGCACCTAGCCTCTGTAAAGCAATGGCCGACGTGCAATCACTTGCCGATAAATCGGTAACTATTCTTTACTTGTATCACTTGTATGCAAGTGAAGCGAAATATTCTCACTAATACAACTTGTTCCGGCTGTCATCCTTTCACTTGTGGGCGGTGGCAACATCGATACCGCCTGGAGATATGGTCTGTAAATGCAAGGCAGTTTGCAATTCACCGATAGCTTCGTGCATCATGGTCGTTTATCACACAACTGATGTTTACAAAATGTGATTCGTAAGACTATAGGAGACATGTAGATCTAAAATCTCGATATACCGTCCATGGTCACTATCTATTGTTCGGTCTATGCCAGCAGGTTTCATGCCAAGGCAGACACGTACATAGAGCCTATCGTATTCGTATTATGTATTCGTCGAAGGAAAATTCGACATACAACACATACATACTGGCTTAGGCACGGAATGAATCTCGATACTTGTAGCCTCGTGTAATGTCACAGTATACTGCAATGATGCGCTGCTAGCTAAATCGTACACATCATTGGTCTTATCAACCTTTATGAGAGAAAACGATGCATTTTATTTGATGCATTTAAATCAAAACGGTGACGGTTTAACTCGGTAAGTGCTTGCCTAAAAGGTAGAGTATGTTTCTTGTAAGCTGGCAATTTTTCGCTGAGGAAGTTTGTCTGAAGGAAGTCTTTGGTCTGTGAAAAAGTGACATTTTTCAGTGCACAAATGATCCGAGTAGAGCAGAGAGCAGAGATATTTACTCACAGGACTTAAGCCCTGATTATCCTGCTATGCCGTGTCACTGTTAACCACTTCTGTTAACTTTTCAGTTTCTGACAGTATGCAGTCATTCGGCATTGCACTCATTTACAAAACCGTTTATCTTTAGGTCAATGCCACTTTCTGGAATATCACCGAGTTGTGAACTGACCATTCGCCGGACTCTGGGGATGTGGCGCGCTTCCCGACCACTTTTTGTGGCCGGTGCGCCACATTGCCCGCTGTCCGGGCAACCCCATTGCCCAACTGGCGAGATTGGCGGCCGGCGGGCGGGGCGGGCTGGCCGGATGGGCCGCCGCGCCGGGGCGGGCGGCGCGTGTCACTAAGGTCGCCGGGTCACGGGCTCATCGCTGATGGGTCCGGCCGCCGGCCGCGCCGGGATCGTCCCCGCCGCGCCGTGACCGTCGCAGCGCCGATACCGCGCCTAATGATGGCCACCAGGCGACGATGGAGCCGCCGGAGAGTAGGGTGGAGTCGAGTGGAGTTGGAGGAGTTATTAGAGTCGTGGAGTCACGGAGTGGGTGAAAGAGTTGTTAGGTGACCTTTGGGGACAGTGTGTTTCTTCTGCCGTGTTGTGTTGCTGTTATTTTTTATTTTTCAATGTCGCAATGTAGAGCAACGTGTCTTTTATGGCTCAATTGCTTTTATAACTTTAAGCTGAGTCATGGCCGAATCGCTGCCCTGTTTCTGTTTTCCCATTGGTACCATACTTTTTTAGGCTTTTCCAACCTCCATCTACCTACTCATTGGCTTATTTTCCCCCACGTCCGGGCATGGTTTAGCCCTTAGAGTTATGTAGTATGCTCGACATTTAATACGGGCGACTGGTGACATAGGCAGAAAGCACTGCTGTTAACCTGGGGTCACATATACTTTCCACATGACACTTCAGTTCACAGCCGCCCTAAAACCAGCAATATGCCGGTAAAACGCTGCTGTTACCAGCTGTTACTCTGATTATGAACCGTAACTGTCACTTCAACAGCTCTTGCCAGTCAGCACTAGGCACGGCTGACACGACCGTCCCATATATCTATTCACGGATATTGACCCAAGGCAATGCGCAGCGAGACAGCCATAGCCTACCGTCACACTACCGTTTACCTTTCGACGCTGAGGTGCACGCACTGTGACTGCCGGGGCGCTCTCAAGGCCGCGTGATAACGTTACGATGACAGCCGGTGAAATATGGCCCAATGCGTGAGACCGGTATACAAAGACCGAATGGCGCTCGCTGCCTTCGATGGCATCGCAAGTAGATAGAGTGAGCAGCGCACGCGATATCAGGAGCCGTGTGTGA